AAGGCGTGGCCTCCGGGAGGCCAGCGCGGATGGAGGCCATGCGCTCCCAAACTCCGCCAAGATGGGAGGCACAGGAGGACAGGACCTGAAGCAATGGGTATAAGAATGTGTTGGATTTCATTATTACACTCGTTGTGGTTAACTTAGAATAGTTCATCTTTTACACAGATTGATACTTGTTATTCTATCTTAGTATAGAATTAATTGTTTACCTTTTGGTTAAATCCTATAACTCTTTTCCACAATAACGCCTGACAACAATCGCACGGCTTACCGCTTAAGTCTACTCGCCCTAACCCGGATCGAGATCAGAGAAGTATAGCCCAACCCCGTGTAACACTTTAACCACCTCGGCCTTTGTGGAAGGATTAACCAACAGGTCGCCCGATTAAGATTCAAGATGTCTCACAATCACTCTCAATCCCAGGCAAGCAATGGTGGACCAGTACAGGAACCTGCACCAGCACCACGACCAGCAATCGACGACGAAATGCTGACCCTGAGTGACGACGAAGAAGACGACGAAGACGCACGAAACTTACGAGAGTTGCGGAATCTTAGGCGACAGGCCACGATCACGCAGCAGCAGATGGCTAGCATGCAGGATATGATCAATTAGCTTTCAAGCTAGCTGACGGCCACCTCGAATGAAAAAAAAGTATTAAAGAAACCCAAGATGGCGCCACCCAAGAAGTATAAAGGAGGAAGATACGAGCTACGACCATTCCTCACTAACATGGACCTATATTGCGAATTCAACGAAGTCCCAACCAACCAAGGAAAGATCCTCATGGCCAGTACCTATATAAAAGGAAGGGCAGCAAACTAGATTCAACTATACGTAGAAGATTACGTATCGAACAGCGCAGACCAAGGTACTAGGGCTGAGACACAGTCCTTATTCGCCAGTTGGAAACACTTCAAGGAAGAGATGGGACGCATCTTTGGGGAAGTAGACGCCAAGAACCAGGCAGAAAAAGCGATAACTCGCCTGAAGCAGACTAAGTCAGTCTCGACGTATACGGCAGAATTTAAACAGCTACAGGTAAGAATTGATTGGGATGACGCTACGCTACAAACCATATTCAAGGCAGGACTGAAGGAAAATATAAAAGACGGTCTTGTACACCATGAAAAGCCAACAACGCTTCACGCTCTAATAGAGCTAGCCACGCGAATCGACCATAGGCTATGGGAACGATACGAGCAAAAGAAGCGCTCATTCTAGCCTACCCCGGCCAATACAAGGAAGCAACGTCATAGTAAAGACAAGGATGGTGACACTATCATGACTGGCAAGGTGCAAGAAAACAAGAACTGGAAAACCAAGGGCAAGAGCCAAGACGGCCTTTCCAAGGAAGAACGACAAAAGCGTTACGACAAGGAAGCATGTCTCCGATGCGGTGAAGTAGGACACTTCCGCAGAGACTGTCCAAGAAACAAAGTTAGGCAAGGTCAAGTCAAGATTGGGATAATCAGGTGTGGAACACCTTACCCACAGAACATAGAACCCGACGACACACTTAGCGACCTGGACTTGTATGAGGAGGCACGACAGGAGTCGGACGAGGCCTTTGAGATGGTACAAGAAGCCGTAGGATTGAAAGACTTCAAGTGGGACGACCTACTACCAACGGACCACAGGGTTGAAGGGGCTGAAGTACAACGCCGCCTAAGAAACCAGCTGTGCTGGATGTGCGGAGATGCCACACACCAGGCCGATGATTGCGCTCTCGAAGAACGAATCATCATCACGGGACCGAACTCTGAAGAGATTGGATATCAAGCGGTTCACGAACAACCCAGCTTCAGAGACCCAGAAGCCGAGGTCGAGAAGAACGAACCTCGCACGTTCAAGGAACGGATGGAGCAACATGAGCGCCTGCATTGGGTCGACTGTAACACACAGTGCGACTACCACCTAAGGAAACGTGAGGAAACTAGGGACAATGAGGACGATTGTTGCCATACACATTTGTGGTACAACGAGTGTCAAGTGGATGGATGCCACACCCACGAACGCGAAAAACAGCAAGCACATTGGGAACTGTGTTGGTTCCAGTGCAAGGAGAACTGCGATTACCACAAGGAGCAAAGGAGAAATGCTCGCAAGGTAGACGACTTCTACCACAGCACGATATCAGCTCAGGAATGCACGGCAAGGAAGTGTCGCATGCACCGACGAGAAACACCAAGGGTGACAACGACGCGGATGCAAGCAATATCAGCTGCGACAGCGGGACCGGTTCCCCACGAGTTCATGCATTGGTTCTTTTGCTACGACCACGCATGCCAAGCACACCTTGACGCTAAGATCAACAATGGATACTTTCCTAAGAAAAAAGGAAAGCAGTCAAAAAACTAGGATGCCACCAGGGACAGGGTCACGCTGGTGAAGGCAGTCCTAAAACGACCCTTAAGGAAGTCAAGAGCGTAGGAACGCAGGATCTTAGACTTCGAGCGGATGTCCTAGTAAATAGACACAGGATGACAGCGACCATAGACAGTGGTGCTGCACGAACAATGATCTCACCCTGAGTGGTGGAGAAATACGATATACCCCATCAAACCAAGAAGGTGCCGATGCGAGTGGTATTAGCCGACGATAATCCCATGGCATACGGGAGCGGCATGATCAGGCTAGAAACCAAGCCGGTGTTAATGGAATTGGCAGGCAGGAAGAGCCGCGTAAAGATCAACATAATGGACCTCGGAGAGGAAGATATCCTCATAGGTTACGATTGGTTGTTAGAACACAACCCGGCCATCGATTGGCAAAAGAAAACAATACTCAGCCGAGAACCTGTGCACAAGGTTGCTGGAGTACGAAAAGAGACGAACCCGATTATCCAGAGCTCACCCAAGGACGGGAGGATAGGTACGATCTCACCACATAAGATCATGAGAATCTATGTGAAGGACCCTCAGAGAATAGGAGTCATTTGGTTAAAACGGGTCGCGACTACGAAGGAAGGACTAGTACTATAGTTGGCGATACTAACAGAATACCAGACGAACGAGTTTCGAGAACTGTTTGAGGAAAACGAAGCAACAGACCTAGCAGAACATCAGGACTGGGATCACGAGATCGTCCTCGAGGATGGAGCTAAGTTGAGCCCAGGAGGAATGTACCCTATATCGCCCGAGCACGACGCTAAGCTGCGGGATTACCTCTAAAAGAATTTGAAAAAGGGATTTATTAGACTAGGACACGGCCTAATAGCCTCTCCAATTCTGTTCGTAAAGAAGCCGAACGGGAAGTGGCGACTGTGTGTCGACTACCGGCGGTTGAACAATGTTACGGTCAAGAATCGGTACCCCTTACCACTTATAGGAGAGCTTATAGATCGACTCTAGGAAGCTAAGTGGTTTACAAAGTTCGATATCTGCGAAGGATTCTATCGGATTAGAATCAAAGAAGGACACGAGTGGAAAACGGCCTTTAAGACAAAGTATGGACTGTACGAGTATACGGTTATGCCGTTCGGATTGACGAACGCGCCGGCGACCTTTCAGTCAGTCATCAACAAGGCGCTCCACGAATACCTAGGAATCTTCGTTACGGCCTACCTAGATGATGTACTGGTGTACACCAACGGCACGCTAGAAGAACACGTCGAACAAGTCAAGAAGGTACTACGGAAGCTTAAGGAGTACAAGTTGTACTTATAGGCTAGCAAATGCGAATTCCATACAAAGGAAACCAAGTACCTAGGCTTTATCATCTCGACAGAGGGTGTTAAAATGAATCCAAAGAAAATCCAGACTGTACAGGAATGGCCAACCCCTAAAACAGTCAAGGATGTGCAATCCTTTCTAGGATTTGCGAACTTTTACTAAAAGTTCATTAGGAACTACTCCCAGATTGCGACCCCTCTTACGGAGATTACGAAAAAAGAAGTCGGGTTTAAATGGACTCAAGACTGCCAGGAAGCGTTCGAAACGCTCAAGTAGGCATTCTTGGAGGCACCCGTACTAGAGATGTACGACCCAACACGAGAAACGCGAGTCGAGACCGACGCGTCAGATTATGCACTTGGAGCTGTACTGTCACAGCAGTGCCCAGACACGAAATAGAGACCGGTGTTCTACCATTCATGGAAGTTCTCAGGAGCAGAACTAAATTACGACGTTCACGATAAGGAACTACTCGGAGTAGTCGATGCCTTTGAATAGTGGGAGGTGCATTTGTTAGGCTTGCCCCACACGATCGAAGTGTTTTCTGATCACTAGAATTTGACGAGTTTCATGACGACCAAGAAACTCAACCGACGACAAGTCCGATGGGCTGAGATGCTTGCTTAGTTCGACTTCAAGATCACCCACCGAGCTGGATCGCTCAACGGGGCAGCGGATGCTCTGAGTCGTAGGTTAGACCTACGAGAAGATGATCACAAAGAACCACATGATGCAGTATTCAAGCAGATGCCCGACGACAGCTTGAGATACAACCAGCCGGAACTAGCTAGGGTAGCTAAGGTGGCCGTGCAGGTAGATACGCTACAGCAGCAATGGCAGCAAAAAGCAGCCAGCTGGCAGTTCGAGCCCGAAGACGAAGGCTCCGAGGAACTGTTAAACGATGAAAAGGAGTACCGAGATATGGTTTCAAAGGACCGAACATATGTACCCCCGCACATGAGATCGAGTCTTATTAAGGAACTGCACGAGTCCCTGGAATACGGACATGCAGGATTAGAAGAAATGGTCAGAAGACTAGCTAAGGTATTTGCCATACCACGCTTGCGAGCGAAGGTGCAGGATATCCTAGGCAACTGTTTGGCATGTCATCAGAACAAGCCCAAGAGACATAAGCCCTATGGCCTGTTGCAACCCTTACAGCCTCCAACAAGACCATGGACCAGTGTTACGATGGACTTCATAGTGAAGCTCCCGGTATCAAGAGAACCTGGATCCGCAAGACTTTGCGACACGATATTGGTAATCGTGGATTGATTGACCAAAGCGGCGAAGTTTGTGCCCACGGAAGAGACTATTACGGCAGAGGAATGCGCGTATGAAGTCACAAAAGCACTAATATCAGAGCATGGAATGCCCAAAGAATTTATAACGGACAGAGATAAGCTGTTCACGTCCAAGTATTGGGACACGTTCCTGGCAAAAATGGGAGTCAAGAAAAAGCTATCGACTAGCTTCCACCCAGAAACAGATGGCCAGACGGAACGAACGAATCAAACTTTGGAGCAGTACGTACGAATGTACGCCAACAAGCTGCAGGACAACTGGGTTGAACTCCTGCCGACAGCACAATTGGCCTACAACAGCTCAAAGTCAGCAACGACAAAGAAGTCACCACACTACGCGAACTACGGGTATGAGCCGGTGGCTCATCGAGACCCAAAAGATATTGAGAGTATCGCGATAGGCGCAGAAGACAAGGCACGTCTTATGCAGGAGTTACATGAAGAATTGAGCAAGAACATAGCTCAGCGGAACCTCACGGCATCTAAGGCTGCGAATAAGCAAAGGATTGAGGGACTAACCTTTAAGAAGGGGGACAAAGTTTTCTTGTCAAGACAAAACCTAAAAACTAAACGACTATGCAGGAAATTGGACAACCTCCAAGTAGGACCATTCGAAATCCTAGAGGAAGTTGGGAAAGTAAATTATAAGCTAAAACTCCCACAAGGCATGCGAATCCACCTAGTCTTTTATAAGAAACTCCTAGAACCAGCACCTCCAGATGCCAAGCTAGCAACGGATATAGAGCTCGAAGACGACGAGTACGAAGTCGAAGGAATTATAGACCTGCGGAAGTTCAGAGGTCAGTGGAAGTACTTGGTTAAGTGGAAGGGATGGCCTGAGAGCCATAACACTTGGGAACCTGAAGGAAACTTGACGAACAGCGAGTCACTGGTACAAGAATACCATCAGAAGCGTCCGAAGAAGCGAGGACCGGCTCCTCAAGGGAAAGGAAGTAATCAAGGGAAAAAGGATCGAAAGAATAATCAGCCTGTAACCCGCCCAGATCAGCCGACGGTCCGGGTAGCGATGGTTCGACAGCAGGAAGGCTCGTACCAGGGGCAGAGTCCCCTTCAGCCTGCTCTTTCGCGCGATCCTGGAGACTCAGAATGGCGTGATCACGGTCAGCGTAAGACCGCTCCAAAGCCTCAGTCTCAGCGACTTCTAGACGAAGCCGCGCAACTTCAGCCTCAGCTTGAAGGAGGGCCAAGCGTTTGGAACGCTTGTCAGCCTCAACCTTTTCCCACTCTTCTTCAGTCACAAAAAGACTACACTCCGCTTTCACAGCAATACAACCAGCGCAACGGCCAGTTGCAGTGTCCACGAAACAACAAAGGTTCTTCTCTTCGCAACGCTTACAACGAAAAGTCATTTCGTTCCCCTGCTAACGGATACAGTCAGCACGAGACTGACGCTGCTAGGTTGAGTTCTCAGAACGAACACGACGGGAAGACGGGACCTTGGGCATGGTTAGGAAGGCTAGCAGGGAGAGACGACTACAGCGAGTGGACGGGCTCAGACCTTATATGCAGCCGGCGCCACGACGCACGGCACGGGAAAACAATATCCCAGGGTATCGAGACGATAGCCCTAAAGGGGGAGGTAATGTTACGAACAAACAGGAAGGATTCCTCTCAACAGGTTTCCATGAAAGGGTTGCGGAGTCAGCCTAAGGGAAACAAAGGTGTCAAAGGACACCCGGGTAATGATCAGCGCGGGGCGCGCGGATCACGTGACTTGGCATCCCGCCAAGGCGTGGCCTCCGGGAGGCCAGCGCGGATGGGAGGCCATGCGCCTCCCAAACCTCCCGCCAAGATGGGAGGCACAGGAGGACAGGACCTGAAGCAATGGGTATAAGAATGTGTTGGATTTCATTATTACACTCGTTGTGGTTAACTTAGAATAGTTCATCTTTTACACAGATTGATACTTGTTATTCTATCTTAGTATAGAATTAATTGTTTACCTTTTGGT